GTCCTATTAAAGTGAACAGAAATAAAAAGTCAGAATCTTTTACTTTTTTATTTTATTACTCTGGCAAATACAGTAGGTGGCTTTAATAAAAGGATTTCAAAGTCCAAAGGATTTCAGCTATTACAAATGTTGATTAAATTACTTACAATGGACGCTGTTTCTTGATATTTAAAGGTTTCAGCTTCCCATACAAGCAGCTGGTGCCCTGATATCCTATTTTAGGGTGGTTTCTTTCTCTTCCAGGGTTCTATGGAGCCACCCTTGTGTGTGCTATTAAGCTGTGTGTGTTGACACAGACACAGCAAGGCAAGCAACCCCCCCCTGCTCCCCTCGCCTCCTTTCTTCAAGCTAGTAGCTAGAGTCTGATCTGTCCTTTGTGATCTTGTACTGGACAGGAGATTCAGGGAAGTAAAGCCGAGCATGTTGGAGTTATTTGGAAACATGATGACTAAGAGCTTGTACCAAAACTTAAAAAAATGCTTAGCTGGGCAATGTATATTGGTTTGATCTGGATTCATTATTGAATAACCGCTTGCACTTTTAATACTATTTAAAAGTCCCATATTTACGATAAAATGGTTATGATAGGCCTGGGGAGATGGTACCAGGATCTAAAGCAAGTCCATTTATATTACTTTAAAATAATCAAACAGGAGTGGTGGTAGTCTCCCCAAACAGAAGCAAAGATCCTTAATCCTTCAATCTAATATTAGTAACTACTCTATAAAATAGGTATAAAGAAAGAAAGTGCTTCCAATGGTGAAATACTGTTACATTGATTAAAAGCTTAACAGGTTAAAAAGCAATCACATATTTCTGGTGCACTTGAGCATGTAAACCGCGTGATGTGTAACAGGACCCAGTGTGCAGAGTCAAACTAGTTTCGTCCCGGCTAATCAGACCAGTAATTGCTGACGCGATGGTGTAGAAAATTCCAATTAATACACATTTTTTTCAACCTGCATAATGACATTACATATACACATATTTGTTGCTCGTGTAATTCACTTATATTAAGAGAAGAAATTGTGTATTTTTGTTTTTATTTTAGTAGACAGAGCTGGCTGCAGAAAAAAAGTACACCGTTTATATGTGATAGCATCAATTTGCAAAATGTGTTGTGTAGCAGGTACAGCCCTACATTTTTTTGAATTAAAGTGAGCTTACAGGCAGTATACAACAGTCCTCTGAGCCCAGAGTTTAAGCTGAATGTAAATAAATGTGTTAAGGTTTCTAAAATCTAATTTTAACTTATATATGTACATGAAGGAATCCATATACTGTATGTACTATGGTTTTTGCTTAGCAGTGCAGCATAAAGTCTGTTTTACTTTTCTTCCAACTAATGTATCCCAGGTATTTATCCAGCAACCTCTGCTTACGTTGGGGCTGGTTAAAAAACATTTTCCTACCCATATCCTGCTTTAGGCTTAAAAAATCCTTACATTTCCATTTTTTCTCCTGCAAAACTGTTCTACAGCCTATTCGTCACTTCATTCCCAACGCTGTTGCCAACTGCCATCTTATTCAAAAATGGCTATTTCTTGCTTGCAGACCAAGCCACAAAATCTAATCATCAGAAAGGCTGATTTTTTTCCTTCAGGCCACTGGAAGAAAAAGAGTCTTCTCCGCACACCATGGCCTTACGGATGCCTTATGGTGAATCAATTGGCTTGCTAATGGTTCATTCCATGAGAGATCTCTGGGCAGCCTATGCCAAAGTTTCAGTGGAAAGAAAATCTCAATCTTCAAACTTTGATGGTGCATTTTAACACTGATGTGTTTACAATATGTTTACATTCTGCTGTTGACCACAAAATCTAACTAACTGACGGCCAGCAGCAAGATGTAAACAAAGAATTTAGTTAGCAGCGAAATAAATTTAGTTGCTAACTAAATGTTTTAGTGTGCACCAAGCAACTTTTTACTGTGCCTATAGACACCGGGGGATAAAAGAAGAAAAAAAACGCCTCGATTTTTTTTTTTGCTAGTTGCTTGAGAGTGCCGATTGCTTAAGTGCTGGACAATGGGGCGTTCACTGTAACTATTTTAGCCGAACAGTATGTTATCCACTATTTGCATAAGCCACAGTCTTTGCTGGGTTACAAAACAGTTACATTATTTTTAAATATCATGGTTTCCAGAATTAAAGCAATGTGACCATGTGACTATATTGTGGTACTGTGACCAAGCTTCTGTAGCTGTCATTTTTGTGCAACACTGCTAATCCAATGGTGCATAATATAAAAGACCTAAAGCTGGTCACACATATTATACATCAAATTCCCTTTAGATCTACCAAGAAAGAACCAGATGACAAAAAAACTGCATGTTATTTATAAGATGTTTTTTTTCTGTTTCATGTTCAAACTCTTCCATGACTGTGGAGCTTTCAATTTTTGTTTTAATTAATTAATAAAAGTGCTTGGGCTATCTGTTATGCACTGCTTCACCACAGATAAGAGGTAAACGCCAACCTCCAAGATAAATGCTGGGAATATATTAATTAAGCAGTATTCACCAAACATTTACTGCAGGTGTATCTTCCATGTAGACAGGTGTTAGACATCATTAACACTGGACCCATAGCTCCATGCATGCGCAGTATCCTCCAGCCATACACCCATGTATGTGCAGTATTGGAGTAGCTGAGACACTCAGGATGACGTTTAAGTCACTCCTGTGCATGCACACAATGTTGCCAGGGAAATAACCGATCCCATGAAAGTATGCTAGCGACCAATCACTAATTCATTATCTCACATGTGCAGGATTTCAACGCCATATTGCCGACATCACATATAAGACAGCACGTGCCCTTTACCAAAATGCCATGCATGTGCATTGCCAAAATGCTGTTGGTGATGCACAATTTTGGCAGCAATATGGTGACAAGATCTGGAGCATGCAAAGTTACATTAGCAGGATCTTGCCGCCATATTGCTGCCAAAATTGTGTGTGCATGGAAGCGACTGAAACTGCACTCTACACATCAAGGGACAGGATCCATGAGAGATGTAGCAAAGACTTATTCAGTAGCAGGTGACAATTAGTTGCAATGATTGCAGCCGAAAGCTCATCTACTGGCCATTTCCCTGGCTATCACCTATCTCCCCGAGCCGGACCTGGGCTACAGATCAGATAATCTCTATACTGGAAGGTCAACAATGGTCTGTTTTACATACAAGCTGTATAGATCTTTCTTCAGATTAAGCAGAATGGCTGGGGATCACACTGGGCATAATGGCACCCATTATAGATGAAAGTAGTATGTGCCATTTTGGCGCTATAGGAGGTTTGTAGGCATAAGCAGCTTAAAGAGACCTGGTCACCATCCCATGAACAGCGAGGTCAATATAGCAGGTGGAAATCATTTAGAACACTCCGGTCTGTTGCAATGCGTTTATCGTGCATGAATTAGTTTTGCCCTAAGGAACCCCATTTATTTGAATGGACTGCCTAGAACACCACAAATGCCTTAAAAGTGGACCTGCAGCATTTCTGGCATTGCAGCACATCACAAAACATGGCAGTGCATTACTGCAAATTGCTGTGCACTGCAATGCAGGCGCATAGGAAGGTGTGTTAGGATACCATTACCAACAAATGGCACGGCAGCATAGTAACACACATTACCAGTGTGAACGGGGCCTAAATGTACTGACACATCGATAAGTCAGTCTGTCTTTATTTTTTAAATTTTGTTCTCCCACGCTGTTCTGAAAACCACCTCTAGAAATTTTGGAGGTTGTGTGTACGAAAGCGCTGGAGCTATCCGCCCCTTCCCAACTCTGACATCAACCAATTTCCCTACAGATTCAGGCAGTGGAATCCACCTTATCTGCACTAGCAGTCTTTGTAGGGCACACAAAGCTTTCTTGGGTGCTGCCAGAACATTAGTTGATGTCCCAGTTGTGAAGGGGCATCAGCTGAAGTGCTGTCGCACACACAACCTCCGTTATTACCAGAGCTGGTTAATAACAAGGTACTGTTTACAGGATAGCAGGTTAGCGAAATTAAAATATGAAAGCACACTGATTTATCGGTATGTGAGTACATTTGCACAAATGCACATTTCTGTGCCCTCCGCCAATGCAGGTATTAGACCTGTTCAGGCACATTTTACTAGTTTGTTTTAAATCACACTGATTGAGTCACCTGCAGTGAAGATATGGTGAATATCACATTTGCTGCTTTATAAATACACCCCTACATTTGTTGAATCGATCCCAGTGATTCCCAACGCTCAAACCAAATATGAAAACAGGAATTATTATTTACCTGCACAGGTTCATAGGCAAAAGCCATGGTCATTTAAATAGAACTGCTTGTCGACCCAAAGTAAATTAGGTTTTAAATATGCATCTAGATTTGTAATTGATTTCAATAGCGGACATTATATAACTATATATGCAATACTGAGGTTTTCCCATACCAAATGAATAACACAAAAACAACAATATTAAATGTTTGGATCCAGACCCCTTTATTAACACACGAGCACAGTCTGTACAGTCTTGTGCTTTCAGAACAGTACTAAACATGAAAAAAAAAGGTTTGTGGCAGGTAATGAAACGATGGGCACAAGGAGCAAAAGAAGTGGGCAACAGAATAAAAAAATAATCTGTGTACACAACCTTCCCCCTTCCTCCATCAACCTACCAGCAGGAGCTTATGATCCAAGAACAAGGCATGTCACCCCCACATCCAGGGAATAAATAGGAGCACAGAGCAACTGAATAATATGGAGGGAAGGAGAGTGCTACAGAGGAAAATATGCCCACCTGCCCTGTGGGGTTGGCACAGGGGTACTTAGGGTTAATTATTGCCATAAGTTTCTATTTTTATTTCCTCAAAATAAAATAAAAAAAAGCTGCAGGAACAAGTTACAAAGATAACTACAACAAGAAATCCTCTCTGCATCCTCCAATCCGAACGCAAAAGGCAGTCGGGCACAGGCTGGTCAAAGAAAAAAGTTATTATTTTTATATATATTTTTAAAAAAATCCATCCAGTAATACTGATGGAGCCAGGCATCAGGCTGTTGCTCCTGGCTCTGATGCACATGTTCCTCTCAATCTACAGGGGTAATTGCACTCCCTATCAAACAAAGCAGAGAGATGCCAGCAATGCTGGTTTATTAGAATATATAGAAAAGAATAACTGAAAATGTAGGGGAGTGACAGCCCGTCTCTCACCCCCCAAATCCTCAAATGGCGGTAAAGTGTGTGGGGGGAAACAGGCAGGGTCTTATTAGCGTGGCTCCAGCATGGGCAGAAGCCTCAGCCATTACTACAATACTTCGCTGTTACACGGCTGTGTCACATAATTTTTTTCTTGATCACGTGTGATAAAGACAAAGTTTACTAAGCACTTTCACCGAAACCACCTCCTTCTTCATCATCTTCTTCTTCCATCACAGGGTCAGAGTCCCAACACGTAATATCAATCTCTGAAAAACATGAAACACAAGTACTCAAGCTTGATGCCCATAAATTACAGCTACAAACTATCAAAGATGCTCTATAATTACCAAGCTGTGGACAGCACTTAAGGCACAATAAGGTGGCCTCCCAAACATTATCACATGATAATGTGATATCTGGCCGAGATGACACTTTAAGTGCTCTCGTAGCTTGATAGATCAAATCCAAAAGGATTACATAGGAACTGTTTGTATAACTCCATTGGCAAAATCACATTTAGATATATACTGTACATTGAAAGCTGGAAGGTGAACTTTGAACCTAACTGATGGCTATAGCAAAGCAATATTTTAATTTACAAAAAAAAAAATATGTGAGCCAGGATTTGTGGATACAGAAGATATGACAATATGGTGCTACTAGATGTTCACTAAGCCACTCCTGCAGCTGTCTGGTGCATAAAAATAGGACTTTTTTGCTGAACGTAAAATCCGAACCAAAGTACTACACAGGACACAAGAAAAAAAAAAGGATTTTACAGGCAAGACAAAAATTCTATTTACTTTATCATACATTACAGGACCCACTATTGTATACAGGGACATCCCCATGCAATACAATTGAGGGGTGGGCCACACAGCAAATAAAAACTCCAACAGTAACAACAGGTTAACAGAAAGGCCTCGAAGGGCTCTCAGAGCCTCCTTAAGAACCTTACGACCTAAACTAGCATCAGAGGAGGCCTGCACATCTACCTGGGAAAACTTAAACATGTGAACAGAAGACCAGGTAGCAGCCTTTGAGAAACAGATGCCTGATGCTGGAAAGCCAAGCAGCACTAAGGCCACATAGACTTGAATGATAATTTGTCTAATTCACCTGGAGATAGTAGATTGAGATCCACATGATGCTTCAGGAGAAGAAGCTGTAGCATCCCGCATACTTTTTTTTGTATACACAGGAGCACCCGTGTGGGATGCAGATGCGGTGTTCTTTTGTTTTTAATTCCTCATTTTCTAGTGGGTCCCCGCAGCGCTGTCCCACCGCACAGGTGCCGCCAGCAGCTGTTGTGGAGGCACACGTGCGTGCTAGCAGCACCTGTGTGCGTCCATAGACACACACACAGCCCTGCGGCAGGCCACAGCCCTTCTCTCAACCCAACAGGTTGATTGATGGCAGAACGAGCCTTTGGCTCCTCTGCCCTCCATCTCCTCCCCCAGAACCAGGAAGTTCAGGATGGAGGAATGCTTTGGGGACCGCAGTGGTGACAAGCGGCGCTGACAGGTTAGTGTTGGGGGATGGGGAGCACAGAAAGGTACTGGGCATTTTTTACCTTAATGCAGAGAGAATGCATTAAGGTAAAAAATGCCCTGCCTTTAATACTACTTTAAGTATTACCGCGCCATGATGGCAGTAGCATGATCTTGGCCTTCAGAGAATGGGTTACAGCAGAGGCTGCGCCATGGCTCTGGTCTTAGAAAGTACTCTGCAGCTGACACTGAACACATAAGTATAAAAAGCAACACGATGCAGAACCCAGTGTCGGAAGATCACATTCCAGGAAAGTCCCACAATCTTCAGTCCAGCGGGGTCTGGGTATGGCTTTAAAAGCTGTTGCTGCGGATATGCTGATTCAGATATAGAGACTAGCTCAAGCTAAAAGAGGAAAAAACAACTGTCCAATCTAATAAGACACTAGCAAAAAAAATGATGAATGCTGGGTAGGGGGAAGAGGTTTTAGGGGGCAGGCTTTAAATGTTTTTTTTTTGTTTGCTGGTGTTCTACCCTCCTGTAGGTGGCAGTATAACCTGACTATAACATACTACCAATAGACGACAAAGAAAAAAAGTTTTTGCCATTATATTTAGAGCAAGACATTCCTAATATGACAATCTTTCACTAACACCTTTTAAAACTGTTAAAGGTAAGTAGCGATGATGCAATCTGGGAGTTGCACCACTACCTGGCCCTCCCTATAAATGCATGTAAAAAGCGCCAGAAAGTCAATTTGGGAGAAACAGAGAAAGTGACACATTGGGATTCTTAAAGAATAACTGTAGTTTCGGAAAAATAACACATATGCTACCTAGCCCCCAAGCACATACCCTCCCTTACCCCAGATGCACACTTATCTGTATCTGACAACCTCAGGCTTTTAATATGTTAACAACCTATACCAAAATTTTCAAGGTGCTGCCTGTATTGTGAGTCCTTGTAGACTTCTAATGGGTGGTCTTCCACTGGGTGTAAACATTGTGGAAGGCCATGGCTGTCAGATTCAGGTAAATATGCATTTGTGGCAGAGAAGGGTGGGATACTTTTGATCAGGGGCTAGGCAGGAAGAATAGATGTACTTTATCTTATCCATTAAGACTCTCCTCACATAACCAATATTATTTGAGTTAAGGTGCTTCTAAAATGATCCATTCGTCAAATCTTAAGTCTTTGGATTTAGAGTCTAAGTTTTCTGACCATGTTTAATGTTACACCCATATTCAGGGGGTTACATGAAACATGTTAAGATTTCAACCCTCTTGCCTTACCTGAATCACGGGGTTCTTCTCCTCACAGGCTTGTGTTCATTTTTTTTTTATCCGGCCAACACAGCTCCATCATCCGTGGCAGAGGGAATTGTAATTCTTAATGAAATACAAGTGCAGCGACGTCACCGCACTTGTAGCCCATTCCCTCTTCCTTCCATTCATATTGCCGAATCTCCATAAAGACATAGACAGGAAGAGTCTGCAGGAGCCAGACCATTGCACCCGTGATCTACTGATCGCAGTTGCAATGCTTTACTGGCTCCAATGCAAAAAAATACTTAATGCACCTATTTCCTTTTATAAAGATGTGTGCATTTATTATTTATTTCTAAAGGGTGGACTTTGCCTTTAAACAGACATCACCAGCCAACTGTCCAGGAAACCGGATTGGCTGAACTGCTTTATTTTCAGCCTTCTACTATCAATGTCCTGAGATAACACTGAAGCTGTTGGTGTCCAAGTGCTCTTGCCCCTTCCTACTCCATTGGCCATTAGAAAAACTAACCTCTATATACACAACAGATATATATTACCTGGTGGTTTGTTGTAAAACACTGGTGGAGTAGCTTTTGCTGACACATCATCCGTTTGAGCAAAGTCCTCATCTTGAGATTGGCTAAAATATCCTTCACTTGCCTGGAGTGAAAAAAAAATTATATATATATATATATATTTAATACAAAAGTATTGTTAACAGATTATAAAATGTAAGGTTTACCTTATTATAACCTTTAACCAACTACAAAAGAACTTGTGTATGGTAAATAGGTCATACAATGTGAGAGATGTCAAACTATTTTGCCAACAAACATGTAATATGAAGTCATGAGATTGAATCACATAAAGACAATGTCTGTGTAGACTTTATTTGTTCCCCCTGTGTTTGTATGGGTTTCCACTTGATGGCTGAACATTCCCTTATATTAAAAAAGAAGAGAAGCCATACCAGTCGATAAAATGTCTACAAACCCTACAATGTGCTTGAGTGCTTGTATGATTTTACTAGGAATATTAGACTGTAAACTCAAGGACTAATGGCGGTGGTGTCTACATATTGTGGAAAGCTCTCTGTAATATGCGAGCACTCTATAAAAATATATAAAATAAATACAACCGTTATTTTCATAACTAGAGACAAGTGATATCCATTGACTGCTCATATACCGTATTTTTCCGTGTGTTTACTACTGTGTTTATTTCATTAAAATGTTTACCTAAAAATAGAAGGGCGTCTTATACACGGGGACCGAGAGGAGAACAGCGGCTGCGAAACTGCCGATACCACTGCAAACTACCGTAGCCTCACGAGTGACACTTCAGATGATTGCAGAGACAAGATAAGTTTTCCTCCAATCATAAATCTTTTGTACCTGACGTCAGCTGCTGCTGGGGAGAGTGGCTCTGTAATCCGCTCTCCCGAGCGCCGGCTGACGTCAGGTACAAATGATTTATGATTGGAGGAAAACTGTGATCTTGTCTCTGTAATCCGATCATAAATCTTTTGTACCTGACGTCAGCCGGCGCTCGGGAGAGCGTGTAGCCAGTGCCTGGAGCTGTAATGTTGGAGCATAACGTGATTGAGGTAAGTGTGATGCATTATACCATGTAAAATATTGATTTAGGAATTTTGGGTAAGAAAAGTTGGGGGTGTCTTATACATAGGGGCGTCTTATAGACGGAAAAATACGGTAATCTTAAATTCCCGGACATACTGAAAAAAAAAAATGGTAAAATCTACATGTGATATAGGCATACTACATTCATTCATTTTTTCCTAGAATATCATTGTAGAAAAGCCCTTTGATATGAAGTGGTGTTTTGACAGGAGTGCCTACATCTGTTCACACCATGTCCGGACCAGATCTGCAAACACAGCACAGTGCATTTTTGCTGTGTGGTTTCTTTTGCTCAAAATGGGCTTTCGAGTGTGCTCCAGTGCGTATGAAATCATTTATGATGTGTTTCAGTGCATTCCAGACAAGGGAAAATTAAACAAGAAGTGTTTTATTTTGTCTGGACCGGAACGGACTGCGCTGGTGTGAACAGAGCCCGGAAATACCATAGGGATACATTGGGATGCTCTTTTGGTCCGGGAACAAACTGTTCTGGGGTGGACAAACCATCGAATTAGAACTGAAGCCAAAACTATTTTTTTTAGTTTTGGATAGAGTAAGGGCAGGTTCACACCATTTTCCAGACTAGATCTGGTCCGGAAAATGGAGTGAACCTGCCACAGTTCCAGTGCATCCTAGACCAGAAAAAATTAGACATGCAGTATTTTTCTGGTCTGGTCCGGAACGGACTGCGCTGGTGTGAACAGAGGCCAAAAATAGAACAGGGATACATTTTGGGTCCACGAAACAATTTAGTCTGGTGATTATCTGGATGTGGTGTGAATGGGTCCTTAGGAAGGGTTACAATCCCCGCCAGCTTTTTTGCCCAACGGTGTACCATTGGGGAGATTTCCCTTCACTTCCTGTCTGATAGCCACAACAGGAAGTGGTAGGAATTCCCTCCAAAGAGGGAAATCTCTGGTGGTCAAACAGGGTCACTAGAACTAGTTTGCCCATTGGAAGAATCCTCATCTATTCCTGTTCTCATGACAACCCAAAATTTGAGATTTCCTTTCACTTCAGTGATAATGGTCCTCAGGACAAATCGAGGGGGTGAATCTCCCTAATGGGGACAGCAAAAAAAAAAAAAAAAACTCTATCCCTCTCCACTCTGTCCAAAAACAACTTTTGGCTTCAGTTGCACTTTAAGCAATTCCCTCATAAAACTCCAGTCTGACACTGACTGTCATGTAGGTTGGAAAAAATATAACAGAGGGCAAAAGGCTCACTGGCCCTTTAATGATAGCGTGCCAGCCCATAAGGAGGTGTGCAAGTCAAAAACATTTAAAAAAAGAAAGAAAAAGAACAAAACCAATGGAAACTGACTCTAATAACCAGTGCTAAATTACTCAGTAGATTACTTTCAGGAAACACAAATTTAGGGCTATTATGGCACTTTCCAAATCCACCCTCCACCAAATAAAAATGTGCACATACCTCAGATGCAAATAAGAGCTACTTTTACACTGCCTGCTTTGTGATGTGGTGGAAGAAGCTAAAAACAGTAGTTGTTACGGTCTTTTATCATAAGAGGGAATGGCAACTTTTCTCTATGGCATTTCCGAATGCAAAAACTACCTATTTCTGAGCATGTATGTTATGTGCTTACATGCAGGGAAGTTACTGCATGGATGGATGTTGCAGTGGGCCGTGGCTGCCTGAACTCAGTAAGTATGGAGCAGGGGTGAAGTGCAGAGGGTTAGTTAAGTTGTTGTTGGTTTTTTTGGGGGTGGGGGGGGGAGGGCACTGCACAGCCATATGGAGAGTGCATTGTTTTCACTCCTGACTTGTAGACTTTCATTTAGAGAGATGAAAGCAGACTGGATCCATATGGGATGTAGGTGAGGAATTTTTCCATTGATCTTACCACTCTCCTGGGGGAACAATGTACTGAAAACATGGCACTGGCACAACTTCTGTAAATATACTGGCAGCTGCCATTCACTGCCACCACGGCTACCTGGGTGAAGACTTGGCCATTAGTACACTGGTGCTCAGTACACTGAATGGTCCTTTTGTTCATGAGGAGCTTGCCAGGAGCCCCTTTTACAGTCACTATGAAGCACCACAACCAAGCAGCAATTACTAAGATCAAATATGGCTGCCCACCATATATACAGGTGAAACTCGAATAATTAGAATATCGTGCAAAGTTAATTTATTTCACTAATGCAACTTAAAAGGTGAAACTAATATATGAGATAGACTCTTTACATGCAAAGCAAGATAATTCAAGCCGTGATTTGTCACGGCTCATGAAAACCCCAAGAACCCCAAATCCACAACCTCAAAAAAGTAGATTATTACATGCAATCAATAAAACAAGGATTGTACATAGAACAATATCGGACCTCTGAAAAGTACAAGCATGCATATGTACTCAGTACTTGGTTTGGGCCCCTTTTGCAGCACTTACTGCAATTACTTTTGCATGATATTCTAATTATTCGAGTTTCACCTGTATTTAAAAAATGTGAATATCTTAAGACTAAAAGACTAGTTTTACGTTAAAAGTCCAGCACTGCTACACTAAATAGAAGCCACTGCTACACTTGCTAGAAGTAGCCCTGACTTAAGAGAACTATGGCCAAACCATTTTTGGCCATAGTTCTCTTTAGGGTCACAGGAGGACATTTACTAAGACCCAAAACTCTGCAAATAGCGGGCTACTGCCCTCCTTATGCTGACAGCACAGACCCGACCAGCAACCAGGACGGATCCCGACAATATTGTCAGGATTCACCCCACTACCTGATTGACAGCTGGTTCTGCCTCTCTAGAGGCCTGTCCACTCCCACATCTGTCCCTCCAGTCAGCACTGGAGGAACAGAAAGGGGGAATCCCTGCGGGGAGGGGTGACTGACAGTCTCCTCTCACTGCAGGGAAAAGATTGTGAACTGAGCGATAAGCTATTTGTGATCACTCAATTCTCAATCTATAGAGCCGACGAGTGACAGCTTCAGTGTCACATGTCAGTTCTAACTATTGGGATAAGTGTATTTCACTATGTCCATAATTCTCCTTGAATGGCCAATATGATGTTAACATGTAAATCTGGCTTTTTCATGAACATGCGAGACATGTAAGTGTTACACATGTATATGTTACAGCTTATGGAAGCCATCATGAGATATGCTGTATTATAAGCTGTATATAGACAATACATATAATGGGAGTATATAGGTTTATAAATTCCTTGTTATCCATTTCACATTCCTTTTTTTTTATATTTGCTGCATTAACCTGCAGATCAAACTGTCCAACAACAGTGACAGGTATTAGGAAAGTCGTAAAGCTGGCCATACACTTTTAGATTTATTTTGTTCAGCTTGCAAGGTGAAGGATTGAAAGCTAACAGATCCTCCATCTATGCTAAACAGTGTGGATGGACAAATCTTCACTAAAAAGCTGTTGTATTCTAATTGGCTGCAGTCGCTGTTCAGCCGACAATTCTCCACTTTGCTCCTTCATGTATACAAATAGTCAATTGATTAATCGACTTTTGTTGAGATGGATAATGCTGGCAGGGCCACACACAGCTTGAATTTCCGCCAAGTCAGCAATGCCTAAATTCAAGCAATGTATGGCCAGCTTAACTCTGTAATCATGGGGCTGGTATTGGAAATCAGGAAAAGTGAGCATCTTATTGCATCAAACTGACAGCAGACCTAAATAGAAATGTGCAATGCTACTGCAACCCACAGCTATAAATCATATAACCACCATTATTTTTGACACCATGGCACCCAAAACTGGACCCAATATGCTACTTGTGGCCTTGCACTTCTCCTAATTGCCCCAGCCACCTGAAAGAAGTTGAATGTAACTCAGTAAAATAGAGTGTCAGTACTGCTCCAGTATACTAGCATCCAATCAAAATATCAGTTCTGGATCTACTGACCCCCTTACAAAAATATTTAACAAAATATTGGCACACCTGAGTTCCTTCTCTCTGTGAAGTTTCACCATTTGTCAGAAGAGAGTCTGTGAGCTCTGGCTGGTGACAAGAGGCTTCTTGTAGTGCATGTTGATAGCTCAAAGTCATCTGATGAGGACCCTCAATATGAATGATGCTTTGGGGATCCTCCTCTGCCTCCATGTCACAGAATGTGGGGGGTGGTTGTGGTAGCTCCTCAAAGTTCAGGAGGTTCTCTTCAGGGACCTGGGGGCAGGCTTCAGTTTCTGAAGGCTTTTGTTCTGTTTGGGTGTCCTCTTGTGAAGTCATCAAGTTTCCATCTGCCCAGGGAGTTTCTTGGGGCTCGTTGTTTTGCCATAGATCAAGCAGGTCTGAAGCTTCTTGTGGTGGCTCCGGATGGGCATCTGACATCATATTGGCCTCCCCCATTTCCATAACTCCTTCATCTTCACACCCAGTCAACTGAGGAGCATCAGGGAAGCCAGCATCCTCATCACGTATCTCCATAAAAACATCTTCTGTGAGCCCCTGTGGTGTCCATGCACCATCTTGGACTGGCTGGTCTGAATTTAAGGCCTTGTTCCAATCTTCACCTAGACTGCTACGACGTTCTTTTTCCGGAGTACGAGGGGGACCTGCTTCTGAAGAGCTTCTTACTGCTGCATGAGTAAAAACATAGGAGATGTAAGCAACTCAAACAAAAAGCACTATTAATAATACAGATTAACATGTCACAATTAAGGAAATGACAAAAGGACTTACAATGGAAGGCAAAACCCATTCAGAAGGTTTAAAAACTCAGATCATTTTTATTGCCGTATGTCAATATTTTGGGGAACTACAATCTAATTTACGGTGAACATAAATGTGCATGAATCTATTCCCTACTTCATGGTTAGTCTACTGCTATGTGCCCACTGGAGAGATGTTGCTAGCATTCTGCAAAGGTGTCTACACAGTAAGTGAGGAAAATCTTCCCCAACAGGTACACAGGCAATAATAAATCCTGGCTCTAAAAACGTTCTACTCTATAAAGAACATGTTGGCTTCAGTACTCCACTTAAAAAGGTCAATCCATCTAAAACTACAGTACCGAATGCATACGGTGTCCAGAAATGGACCAAATTTACATATCTATAAGTCCTTATTAGCCCATAAAACTGCATAATGAAAACTAAGATGCACACAGCTATAAATGTACACACGAACCTGTCCGAGGAGCCAGCAATGAGATATTGACTTCTGATGAGGCTCTCTCTTGTTGTTTGAAGAATTCCCGTGGGTTCTCTGTACGCTGTGCGATGATAGCAGCAGCCTCCTGTTGAACAGAAATCTTTACAGCATTGTTACATAATTAGAATATCGTGAATAGTGTCAGTGGTCAGTTTAAGTATGCATCTGAAAGTGTGATAAAATAAAATATAACATTTACAGCCATAACTCAAGAACATAACTAGGCACTCAAATTAAAAGCAATTACCCAAAAAAACATGGTTCCTCACCCTTCCATGCAGTCTAAATTATGTGGTTTATGCTTCCTAGTGGATTAAAGCATGTTTTTGTGCAGAAATGGCAGAGTGTCAGTTTATCTGAATAAGCAAAGGACATCTTGAGATACCACTCCTGCTACACAGAGTACTCCACAATTCACCTGGGTCAGTTTTGTGTAAAATTTTTATTTGCTTGTTTTTTATTTTGTTTCAGTCCACAAATAAAAAAAAAAACCTTAAAGCTGGGTATACACGGCTCGATTTCTGCCCAATTTAGTAGGAATCGGCCAAAATTTGATCCATGGGTGGCCCTATCTCCTCAACAAAAGTCTATCTAATGATCAACTTGTCCAAAGGACAAGCTGGAGAATTGTTAGATAAACGGTGCTTGCAGCGGTGGCAGCCGTTGTTAGAATACAATGTACAGGGCTTACAGGCTATAGCTAAGGAACCAATAAAACAATAACATAAAACCAAAAAAATATTTATAGTGTTGTCTGACTAGACTGCAGGAGCTAAAATGTGGTCAGCTGCATGAATGATGGCATTTTACACGTTATCACTGATCTTTACGTTGACAATCTTTAAAAGAGATCTACAGTTTGCCAGTTGATTAATCAGTGTAAAGGGAAAGGTGACTTTTCAATCTTTCAAAATTTGGACCAATCTTTATATGGGAGTTTTGCCCCCATATGGTGTTTTTTGGGACACAAAAGGCTTTTCTTCACAACCAGTGCCCACATTTAAAATACAGTAAACTCCCTATTATCCAGCATCCACGGGGATTGGTAAATTCTGGATGAATGTAGTTTCTGGCTGCTTGAGAGTTGCAATTAAAATAGGTCTAACTAATGTCATACCCCATACTATATTATACCATAACAACATAAACTCTGTATTGACTTCATAATATTGAAATGCAGTAATCAAAAGCAAATTAAGACAAATAGGCACACAACTGTTTCCATGAGAATGCATGACGCAGATCAGCAAAACAGCAAGTACACAGGGGATTTTGATTTTCTGGTTAGATGAGAGTTCTGGTTAGTTGAATACTGGATAACTGAGAGTTTACTGTATTATTTAAATTAGGAATCAAAACTATTCTACAACTCATTAGGGCTAAGCTTACTCAAATTATTTAACATAATAAAAGTAAGGTACTCTTAACTAAAAAGAAAATGGCATTACATTGTTGCAAGCTGTAATACTATTTTCTACTACAACATATGTAAGTTAAAGTTATCTAATCAATACTATGCATATCAATTTTCAACATTTTTTTGTTGCTATATACAACCCCAATGTGTTTTTGTGCACTTTCAATTTAAGTAAGTGGAGCCCTTGGTAGACTTGATGCAGTACCTCATAAATGTAAACCCTACATTTTATGTGTAGCGTCTAAAGTACTTGTTCCTAGTTTTTATGTGGAGATCCTTCCAGTAACAACACTATCTATTTGGCTTTCTGGAAGAGGCTGACAATGCAAACTCACTGCCTTCAAAAGAAGAATTACTGTTGTCATCCTGATGTGCACAGGACTACAGGATACTGTGCCGACACACAGCATGTGGTCTGCACACAGCACTCTGCCAGCTGATCAGATTCATCTGAGCCTAACCCCAGGGCCGGATTTACTCTCCCTGCCGCCCCAAGGCCGGGTTCCACAATACACCCCGCCCTACCAACCCCCTCCCCATCAATTGAGAATGGCAACCAGATGGCAGGGCGGTGGCGGGGCTTTTTGTGGAAACTGGCCTTGGGGCGGAGCTAGTTTCATCCTTACACCGGCGCCTGCAACTTCCCCACAAGGTCACCGCTGCCGCCCCGAGGCCGGGCCTCGGTGGCCTTGTGGGAAATCCGGGCCTGCCTAACCCACCACCCTGTGAAACTTGATGGAAGGCAGTTCTTCACACAGAAGCAAATAAGCATGGGAGTTAAAGTCTGTGACATCACTGTCTTCTTGAACTAAACACCCCCCGCCCCAACAGCCTTGGCCTGCAGACACACCAGCTGTGCTAAAGCAATCACATGTCCACAGGAAAACATCAGAAAATGCTATTTATTATTTTCATGTATCAAACTGTTTCCATGTGCATGATTTGTAAACCCTGGGTTAACATATACTTTAATGCCTTTGTTCAAAACTAGCATCTTTTGTCATTGACTGACTGACCCTGTCAGGTCTATTGAGCTGATACAAAAAGGCAAAAACTAATCACCGACATTACTAAAAGTAAACTTTAAACTGATTGGATGCTATGAATTACTGCATTTTAAATGACATCAGCACTCAAACTGTTATACTAGCAAGTAAAGATTTACCTCTACTTCACTTTCTGTCCTCTTCTGCTCGGCTGCCTCATCCTCGTCTCTCTGGTCCATCTGGCAGGGTATAAACAGACAGTTCTATTAACAATAATAAAGCACTGCTGGCCACATACAAGGAATGAAAATTGTGAGAAACTCAAAAGACTGACTCACAAATATGGAGTTGCTCTGTAGTCGGGTTTTTGTTTCCTCTGCCTCCTCATCCTGCAGTTTCTTTCTGTCAGAAAAAAAAAAAAAAGACAACACAATATATTACTGTGGCTTTACAAATATACTCTAAAACAAGTTCTCGGTGGCCAGTTTTTATCTGATAAATAGACAAAGCATATCAGTACTAAGAGCATATTACTGTTACCTAAACAAAACACATTAATGTTCCCAGGGAATTGTCTAAAAATATATTCTCTTAGTAGCCGATATTAATTTAATTACACTCCCTAGTAATTGTCTCTACAAGTATGGTAATCTGCATACCTGAAGGAGGAAGCCAGCCACCCACCCATTAGGGAGCCGAAACAAAAAGCATTTACATTTCCTACCCCCTCTCATACCATAGTCTGTTCAGAACACCAAGTATAATAAACAAAAAAGGTTCATTCATATTATCAAGTATGATGAAAAATATGATTAGCAATAACAGTACTTTAAAAATAGGGGGGATATTGTGTACAGCTATTTAAATTAACACTTCCTCCAAACTGAATACAGGACCTTGTGATGAAATTCAGAATCTATGTTCACTTTAACCTTTGGCTGGTGGGTCTTGGCAATGTTGGCGAGTAACAGCTTTGTGGATCTGTCTGGCTAAGGCTGCCCATACACCTTGCAATCATCGGACGACACTTTTCGTTCGATGGTCGAACCGTTGTACGATTTTCGCAAGGTTGGATCAGCAGTAATTAGAAGAAAGCACCTGGACGAATTGCGGTAATTGACCGCACATATTTTCATCTGCGCATGTGCAGTGTAAAATCGTACAAATTGTGACTTACGGAAACGCCACTAACCTTGCAAAAATCGTACGATCGACCGAAGTTAGTCAGAAGTCGATCGATTGTACAGTATTTGCGGTTGTACACTGCCCATCAACCTTGCGAATATCGGACGGAAACGCAACCACATACGAAAATCAGCCGATAATCGTAATCGTAAGGTGTATGGGCACCTTAAAGGAGAACTATGAGATGAGTGATTTCCACTCACCTCATAGTTCTAGCCGACCTGTGACAATGAGACTGTCACAGGTCGGCTCAGTAGATCGGGAGGTAAGCGAACACATACCGGGTTCGCTCGCCTCTCGATCCTGTCACGGCTCTCTGCTGTGACAGGGGGAGGGCTGGATTCGCCTCTCCCCGCTCCGATCTGCCAGCGCTGACTGGCGGAACGGACGGGGGAAGGGGCGGGGACAGCTGGCTCTGCCTCTAGATAGGCAGAGCCAGCTGTTACTCACGCAGCTGGGCGGATCCCGTCATCTACGTCGGGATCCGCTCCGGCGTCTCAGTATACCGCGAGCTATAGCTCGCGGTATACTGAGCTTAGGGTAACGGGAGGACGCTAGTTTGTGTCCTCCCGTTACCCAAAGGAGAACTATGGGGAAAAACATTGACCCCATAGTTCTCCTTTAAGAAAGATGCAACCTTGGGCCCAGATGTCAAGTTAGCCCAAGAAAGAAGCACTTGCGGGGCCTTGAGGAAGCCACTAATTAATAACTCAAAAGCTCACAAGGATGGACTGAATAAAATAATTTTGGATGCAAAATGGAAAGACTTATTTGTGGGCCAGCTCTGAAATTCCCTCTTTTGTTTGGGAATATGGTAGGGTACTTCCAAGAAAACACTGAAAAACTAAATTAGAACCTTTACGTGAACAAATGTTTAAAAAGGTGTGTAAAGCCACCAAATTTGTTGGCAGAACTATGTGTAATGATCTCTATTAAGTGTCTAATTAAATAATACAGTGAAACACAACTTGACCACAAAAATCTAGGTTACTGGGAGGAATCTGAGCACTTTGTATAAATTAACCATTTTGCATTACAAGTAACTTCTACCACTAGAGTCTCCTTAATATGGAAATTTGCAGCCTAGACATAACATATGGCATGACTCGAAAGAGGACACTAAAATAATAGTACACATACATAATTATTAGATATTGGCACCTCTGCTACTTGGAAGGTCACCTAACATAATGGCAAGACTTGAGTGCCTGCTACTCCCTGGTCAGAAGGCCAGTAAGTCACCATTCAATACGTAATCCATGTTGTAAGGCTTGGAGCAGCAGACTTGCATGTGCCAGAAGGCCACTGATCCACCTATTAAAAATATTTTAACCACCAGCTTCAGCTTTGTAATGAAGGCCATATTTCCCCCCTTTAAGATGTGGTGGCATGGACAGTTATAGAAGTTTACTGTGCAGCCTATTGCTCTGTCAACAGCCATTTTAGCTGTATGCAATTTTTTTTAAATATCCCCCTGAAGGTTTTAAAAAAATAAAAATTCTGCAATTAGGGATGCACAGATATTGGTTTTTCGGTATAGAGTACTGATATATTTGTTTTGGTACTCGCAGATACAGAGTACCGGTGCCGCGTGCCCAGATTATCAGTAAGTCGGGCGGCGGATCATGACCCGTCGCCCGGGATCCTGATTGCCTGTGCTATAGCAAAAGAACCCTCTGACCGGAATTTCTGGTATCGGAGGTACGTATCAGAGCATTTGGGTGAGTATGGGTACTCACCCAAATACTCGGTATCGGTGCATCCCTAGCTGCAATACTCAACTTTGAAACTGAGCGGCCCCTGGCAGCACCTGTTCTCTGCCACATGTCCTCAGTCTTCTGGGTTAATTGATTACCAGTGTCACTCAACCCTAGAACACTAAGGAGAGGCGGCAATGGCATGGTGACATCAGTGTTGCTCCATGCATTATCCAGAACTGCCCACTGGGAGAAGACCAAAGAGGAAGAAGACCTAGTACCTTAGGTTACTGCCCGGGAGTCATCCAAAAAAGTTCAGTAAAAAATTAAAAAAAGCAGAACGTACTGCTGTAGGGAAGGGGGGAGGGGCTAAAGGGGGAAGCGGAGATAGGCTTAGAAGAAACCCTTTAGAATTTCAAGCGGCAGCCAAATGCTGATTTCATTTAGACTTTCAAATGTCCATGTTTGCTCTAGATCTGTGACTTAAAGTACTGAACCCAGAGACAAAATTTTCTTCCTTGTTGAGTAGAAGGCACTTCAGCTCTGGTAAAAATCCCATCACTAGTGAGCATAGGGCACATGTCCAAACTCTCCCTACTTGGCAATAAACCAGTGCTCAGTGCCACAGCAACCAATAGCCAGACTGGAGTACTGTTACATGGGGACCAGGGGATATACCTAGCAGAGTAAAAAACAATTACAGGACACATTTAGATCTCTCTATGGGTCACAGCAGTAAAGGTAGGCATTGAAGGGTTCTCAAATGTCATTGTTTGATTAATACACACCAGATGTCGTGGTGTATAGCCCTGTACTGGTCTACCTACGTGCTCAGACTAGATAAGAAGATGAAAATTACCTGTGTTCCTCTATTTGCTGCTCTCTTTCCTGGTAACGCTTCTCTCGCTCTTCTTGCTCTTTTCGCTCCTGTTCCATACGCTCTTGCTCAAAGCGAAGCCTCTCCTCTACAACTTTCTGCCTCTCCTCCTGCTTCCTTTCTTCTTCCTCTCTCTGACAGGTAGGGACAGCAACAGTGGTTAGTGACCAGGAAAACCAGAGATGAAAGTACAAAGAAAATGGAGAGCATGCAGTGGAAAGCGCTAGAACATGCAACATACACCTATTGTCCACTTGAAAAAAGCACTGGTACTTTCAAATATTTACCCAATGTTATACTGACCTGACTCCAGAGCCAATCCTTTTACATTTAAATATAATTCCTCTAACTCCTAAGAAAAACGTAACTTTTCTTATAGTGCTCCCAAACTAGCCGGACCAGAAATACTGAAAGCAACCGATCTCGCCTCACTTAGTTGATTGGTTCAAAGAAATACATTTTTAAATGTCAAATTTTTAATTTTTTTAAAAGGTCAAAAAGGCCTGATTTTAAAAATAGCAACATTTATAGGAATATATAGACTTGAATTACTCATCTAGCAGCACTAGAGACTGATTAAATGATTTTATTAATATGTATTCTGGAAACCATAATGTCTGATTTTTTTTTTTGCTCCAATTCTATTCTTGTATTGCATGTCTACTTCCTGTTGTGTCTCTAGGACAAGTGACGGAGACTTTCCCGCCAATAGGATCCATTTTATGTTTTGGGTTTTTTTCAGTTTTTTTTTTTTTTTAGAGCAGTCCTTGAGCTACTAGAGATTTGAAGTATGTTCTAAAAGAGAGGAGATCAATTTAGTGGTGCTAGGGGCAGTAAAGACATCAAAAAGGGGATTATCAAAAAATGTAGATGGAAGTAAAAGGGAGGTGGGCTTGAGCAGTGTGTCGTAATTGCAAATAACAAAACATATGATTGGGGAAATTAAATTCCATTTGTAGGCTAGAGAAGGAACATATCGACCCATCTCTAAAATGGTGGCCCAGGCATGTTACACCTCTGGCAATCCATGCCCCCCGAACAGGTATAGTGTTAAATTCAGGGAGCAGAACATTATTCCAAATAGGTGTGCGATTGTTCAACTGGGGGAGCTTCATATGACTAAATGCCACATTTCACACTCTGAGGCCTGGTTCACACCTGTACGTTTTGTAGCGTGTTCAACGCTCTACAAAACGCTCAAACATGAAAATCCCATTGTTTTCTATGGGTATGGTTCACACCTTGCCGTATTTCAGCCCGTCTGAACGCGCTACAAAACGGCCTACGCCTGAAAAGGTACATCAGCTTCTTTGCAGCGTTTTTGTCGCGCGTTTCCATTGGGATACAGCCAAGTAGCCCTCGGAAACGCGCGTTAGTCGCCCGTTTTTTTACCGCGAATCGCGGTAAAAACGCGTGTCACGAACCGCGCATTTTCAATACGCCTAGGTGTGAACAGAGCCTGAGACTCTGCGATAAGAGGTGATCAGAACTAGGTTTTGGCAAGACCCCCCCCCCCCATTCCATGAAAAGTCAAGTATAGGGGCTCAAGTAGACTATTACCAGCAGGTATAGGTAGGAGACAGCAAATCCTAAGCGACTCCAACGTGGCCCAACGCTACAGGTGAGACAATTGCGAAGCAAGGTAGTATAAATGAAAATCAGGGAATGCCAGCCCTCCGCTATTCAAGGGACAGCACACCATCTCCCAATTAAGCTTGGGTCTCCCTTTACCCCAAAGGAAAGGTTTGAAAATTGGTTCTAGGATTTTAAAGATCTTTAGTAGTATATAAACAGGGGAATGCCATAGCACACAGAGGATCTTGGGAAGAAGCACCATTTTAACAAGATTCAATCTACCCATCACACCAAGGGGCAACGTGACCAGATTTTAGTTTTCATTTTCACTAATTGTATAAGAGGTTCAAAATTTAAATCAGAAACAGTACGGGATAAAAGCTTAAGGTGATCAACCTCTTTGCGGTATCTACATAGTCTTTTAGTGCTTCGCCACCTCTGCACGGTGTGTCATCTCCCCAGTATCTTGTTTAATGTTATTAATTAGTTTGGATAGGGTAAAACATACATGCCCCTTGAAGACATCCCAGGCCACCAAAGGGTTAGTTGCAAAATCGTTAGTTGTAAGGTAAAAAGCCCATTCCTTTGACAGAGAGGGCTCCTCAGGAAATAGAGTCAACCAGAACGGGTTCAACTTTTAATGCGGAGGAGAAGGAGGACGCTGAGACCAATCAAGAATTGCTCAACACGGAGAGTGTTCCTACAACAAATTTGGGAGATATCCCTCATCTTTGAGCAAAGGGAGAAGCAGTGAGTGGATGAGAATCATATCATAGTAGCAAAGATAGCCATTTTAATGTTTTTAGATGCATGTGTGAAAGATATCAGCTTAAATGTAAACAAGTTTATTAGCATGTGTTAAGGTTTCATAAACCTTTTTTTTGTATAGTTTGTAATTATTTATTTACATGAAGGCAGCCAACAAGAGACTCATCACAACAATGATTGGTATCCAGAGATCAGGTGACCTATTTTGCCTAGACTGGTGGCTAAAGATTAGCTTTTCTTTAACCACAAGAAAGGGCTTCTTTTTAATCAATATATAAATGTGCTCTACTGATTTATGTGAAACAAGAATAGGTCCACTTTACACTCTTATAGTCACCAGATAACAAGTTAAATACAATAGCATTTCAAAGGATAGTTGTAGTTCCTCTACAAAAATAATCCAAGGGTCAAAATGTTCATTCATATAAAGGCAAGGTAAACATGAGTAATAAAATTGTAGTTTACTTTTGCTTGCTCCCAGAACTGTTCCCTATTGAGCCGTTTCATTTCCACAGCAGCGTTTGTCTTCTGGTAATTAGTTCCCTGCGGAGGAGATAAAAAGTGACATTTCCAGTTGTGATACACCCACATGCAAGTCTGGATTGTGCATTCTGCCTTCTACTTACCACAGCATCAGACTCTTCCCGGAGCTGCAGCCGCTGCAGGACTGGGCTAGCAAGACGCCCAGCACCGTTGGTTAGACGCTGGCCTATAGTCATAGGATCTATATCCTCCACATTGCTTGCATTCACTATGACATCAACCCCCTACATAAGAAAAAGTGCACAACAGAAACAGATGTGTCAGTTAAAAATGTACTTAACAATCAAGGTGTTCTGCTACAAAAAATGTTTTTTTTTTATCCTTCTGCAGCCATACAAAGTCTGTAAATAAGATATAAACCATGCTCACAGCAAGCAAGCAGGGTGTAGTGCAGGCAAAAGCAAAGCACAATGGGGGGAATTTACTAGAACTGGAGCAGACAGAATTTGGAGTAGCTGTGCATAGTAACTGATCAACTTCTATCTTCAGCCTGTCCAGTTAAGCTTTGAAGATGAAAGATGTAAGCTGGTTGCCATACTATTCCATTCTCTTATTCTCTACAGGGCCAGGACTGAGTGGGAAGATTCAGCGCAATGCCACCTCCTACAATGTCACTACAGACAGACAGTGGGACTTCCACTCCAAGGAACTGTTTGGCGTGGCAAGGACTGCAGAACTGGTGTGCCAATGGTGGAACAATCAGGCACGGCCGTCTGTAGTTACAGTGGTGGAGCATGGATTAAAGACAGACAACGCTGCCACAGCAAAGTAGGCTTTTGGTTCAAAGTTGTCACCCTATAACAGGAAGTCAGAGACTTTGCAGAAACTACAGGTGATAAACAGAAAAGCAAAAGAAATCAATTAAACCCTTAGGCTCTGCAGGATTTGAAGTAATAAAATACTTTTTTTTCTATACCAAGTATAAATTTAAAAGCCAGAAAGAAAAACTAAAAACAAAGACCCTATGAAAATAAATACCCTAATAAGAAATGATTTGCAATTTTAACTTAAAATGGAAGAATCACAGATGGTTCTTGAACATGGCAAAGATTGAGAGTAAAAAAAAAAACGGTATATATATATATATATATATCTATATACAGTGAATGATACAAATGCCAAACATTTAATGCGGGTGAATCAATAGTTGTAGCTTAAACCACATTCACAAGAAGGTTCACTTGTGTGGATATCTGGTGAATGTCACATTCAATGTTTTATACATACACCCCTGACTTTTGACTCGCAGTCTTTACCATGTCCAAGAACTATCTGTGATTCTTTCACTGCTCAGAGTCCAGAGTTTGGCCGCTCCCTAGCTACATTGTGACCGGTAAATCTTGTAGATATTCCTCCCTCCCCTTTCCTTGAGTTAAAGATAATTTTCCTTCAGCACATATGGCGGCTACTCTGCCCTGGAGCATGCATTTAGGACCCTGTTCTCTTCTAAATAACCTTGAGCCTGTATCACAGATACTTCTGGCCTGTGATTTTAATGACCCTACTTAGCAAGTTTCACTAGCAGGTGTATATACAGGTCCAGAAATGGCCACAGAAGAGAATACGCTGCTGTAGGCTGAAGACAGAGTGTACCGCTTACAGTGAGGAAGTATATCAGTTGTGGCACATATTCTGTTTATAGTCAACCCTGATGCCATGCTGCCACTTCAAAAACTGATGTATTCAGCAAGCTTAATGCGATGAATCAGTGAGGCCATACACTAACTGGAAATTCATCGAGCTGACACAAAAAGACAATTCGGCAGGTGATTTAGGATACATTCTTTTAACAAGCGTATCTTTACCAAAGGATGGATTAACCATACAGTCCCTCTGGATGTAATGTACAATGAGCTGTTCTTCAGTTCACTGATAATCATTCTTACCTGGAAAAAATCTGCAACTTGTGCTACATGACTGGCACAAGCACATTTCCTGGCATCGGGAACGTCTTCGCCAACCTAAGAAATGAAAAAAATATATTAGTCTTCACACAATCAAATAAGAGTGAAAGCCAATCATTGCCTACCATGTGCAAGGAGGAATTCTGCTTCAAAAAGGTTACGCATACCATGAGCAAGGGCATTACCTTTTATGGCTGATATACCGATGTTTTTATTTTAGCAAGGCTGAAATTCAGTTGTGTGCACATCCGCTTATACAATTCTGCTGCTGCCCCTATGACCATGGATCTTTTGCAGTCACAGACAGCTAGAATCCCACCTAGCACAAATATGTCTAATCTATATGTAAATACATGAACATTTTTAGGACCTGCGTAACACAGAAATGCAATAAGAGCATCCTGCAGAGCTATCATAATGAAGGCGAAAATCCCTGTAGTTTTCCACAATTCAGTCCTCTTTAAAATGAACCTGTAAAACAAATCATGCACACTAAAGTATTTACATATTCTGAACAATCAGTAAAAGCACTTCACAATGAGCCCTCATTCACCTCTGTATCAATAAGCACTGTGGGGAAATTAATTTTTAAAATGTACATCACAGGCACGGATTTTCAATGAGAGCAGATCTTGGCAGCCCACTGTCCACTAATGTAAACACACAGCAGATGTTTCTAAGCTGTTAGAAACTTACTGAAATGAGATTTCAGAGTCTTTGAAGGGATCTTTGAAAATTAATAACCACATTAAAAAGCAGCTAGAGAAATCAGGGATGGCTTGTGTTAAATCGCTTTTTACTGATTGTTACGCACATGCAAATAGTTTATTAGCCACAGTCTAGGTTCAGGTACGCTTTAACAGATGGAAGCACAGCTGTCTTCTTCAGAGTGTCTGAAACAGCATTACCCCCAAACCACCTTCTCTTCCTCTAGAGTGGGGCGCCCACAATTTTTCATCTGGAGATCTACTTTTCAAATGACGAGCTCAATGAGATCTACCAACGAAAAAACACCTGCATTCAGTGGTGTGTGGTGGTGCATTGAAGTCAATGGCACCGCAGCCAGGCCCCTCGCCCGCAGTGCGATCGCATGCACCCGGTACCCAGGTACATTAGTGTCTGTGTTCCAGTCCAGTGTGATCCGCAAAAATGCAGCAAGCACTATTTTTACAGATCATCCGGGTGCGGACGATTGCACTGTGGGTGGGGGGCATGGCTGCGGTGCCATTGGCTTCAATACAAACCCACACCCCCTCCCGCCCCTGAACGCAGGGAGTCGGCCAGCTTACATTCCAGTGCGTCCTAGAGGCCCCTGGCGTCCTGTCCTCCCGTGGTGCTTGTGTGGCTGACGTTGCACATGGGGAGGTGTCCCGGCCCTTTCCATCTGCAGCGGCTGACACATTCAGCCAGCAGCCGCACGAGCACGACGGGTGCATAGCCATAGCCAGCTTTTGCGCCTGAGGCAAAAAAAAAATCTCCTCCCCCAACAGGCGTGTGATGTCACCCAGCGCACTGCCTCCAGGATTTATTTTACCATTTTTTTAAAACTCTTGGGGGGGCTTCTGGGAAATATTAGGGGTCTAAACGGCCCCCTGATATTTCCCTTTTAAAATAGAAAAAGAAAATTGAGGACAAATTCCTCAATCTCTTTTTCTTCAGCCTCTGTTCTAAATGAATGGAAAGCACAGAGGCTTCCCATTCATTCAGAAACGAATTACCATCACCAGTCTCTGAAATGGGAGGAGCCTCAGAACAGAGTGCATCTCCCCATTGAGAAATTCATGAATGAACAGGAAGTGATGTAAATCACATCCTGTTCATTCATAACTGGGGACACATAGTACTATAGTACTATGTGTCCCCAGTTATTTACAAACACTGGAGTGATCAGCTGATCGGCCACGCACACGAGGGCTCAGCTTCTCCTCTGGATCCCCCCCGGCTCTCCCAGGCAGAGGGGGATCCGACGAGAATTGAAAGAAGCACTTCAGCCGGAGGACAAAGCCGCTGTCACAGAAGTAAGGCCGAGCGGTGAGGGGAGAGAGAGAGGCGTTGGCTGTCAGATCCAGGCCGAGCGTCTCTCTCTCTCTCTCTCCTCACCGCTCGGCCTTAGTTCTGCGACAGCGGCCCCGTCCTCGATCCCCCACCTGCAACGGTTCCTTCACTTCTCCTCGGATCCCTAATGCATACAAATGGGGAGAGCAGCGGGGATCCAAAAGGAGAAGCCCCACGGGCGGGAGGACAGGACATCACGATCTAACAATTAGATCACAATCGACCTTATGGGCACCCCTCTTCTAGAGCATGTCCCAGCACTATTCTATTTTACCTTGTTCCATTATTGAGAAGCAGTTTTATTACTTCCTTTGACATAATCACTATGCTTGTAAAATTCTTGCAGGGGCAGCTGCTGGGTAGTTGGTTCCTACTGATGGAGGCATGCACCCTTCCAAAAGTAAATCTCCCAAAAGCCCTTTCACTACTACAGTGTGTATGTAGGCTCTGTGGAATCAAGGCAGCACTGTTTTGATGGGAAAGAAAACAATATACGCATGTGGAGTGGGACAGAGAGGGGTGTTTCTGTACCTGCTACATTTTAAAAGGTATAAAACATGTGGAAATGTGCATATATTGCAGAACTATACTGATTTGACTGAATGGGCATGTAATGTGTATAATAGTTTGCAAAGTCAGATTTCTAAAAGCTGTTGCCACTAGAGGGAAACATTGCTAACACAAACTCAAATGTGCAAGGCTGTAGCACCACACATTTTGTTAAATAAGTGTCAGATGTGATATTAAAAGACAGCCATTCAATATAAACATTATCACAAGAGGCAAAAATTAGAAGTAGACTTTATGGTCCAAGCATTTGTGAAGAGATATCTTATAATAATCAAAAAATGAATGTAGTTTGTATATGACAAAGAGTCAAACTGTCACTTTAAAGAAAGACACTGGAGTAACTGTCACAATCTGACACTGTACGAGCAAGAAACAACTGTACAGCCAGATCCAAACACAGACTATCAGGAGATCAGTCAGACAAGCTGAAAAAGGTTAAGCCTACTCCTCTCTTCCTTGCCAGTGCCTTGGTTACCCTCTCCTGACCTACACTATTAATGGATTATTCGAATGGCTGATCATTCATACTTGCCTTCATTTACTATATGAATCCCCCAAAATCCATGTCCCTGTTATTTCCAATCTTGACCAATTGTAGCCTTACCAATAGGGAGTATTCAGTAACAACTAGCGTCTGCGTGCACTAGTAAGTACTTGGGACCATTGACAACATTGCAGTGCATTAATGCATGTTATGCCACACATTATAACAGAAGTAAACTGGCAATGAATAAATGTGCAATTTGGGCCCCAGGAGCTTTGTGCCATAATGATGACATATTTTCAAGCAAAGCGATCCTCTTTAGTGCTGAGTTGTCAGTGCTCCTCTCTCCTCCCAGTCTTCTTCCACGTTCAGAGGCTTCGGCCACCTTGACTGGACAACATTAGGATGATGCAACTTCCGCTCTTACACATGGGAGTTACTTTTCCCCCGGCACAGAATTGCTCCAAGACTGTACATTGAGCTGCACATGCACGCAGACAGAAAAAAGGGTCGACAGGCAGGTAGAAGAATCTATGATTGAAGAGACCTACATATTCTCTTCTGTCATAAAAAAAAAGCCTACATGTCGGTTCTTTTTAGAAAACTAGCTTTAATTCCTCTTTTTGTTGCGTTGCTATAAGGTAGGTCATTCATTTGAATTAGCTGCCTAATGCACAAAAAAGAAGCATATACCATTTTTAGCAGAACACCACAATGCACATTAGTGCATCAAAACACCCATCTATCCACAAGGCAAATTAGGGTGCCATTCATAATGAATGGCACCACATTACACCAGCGCATAAGAGGCGGTAACATTGCCACGAGTTACCGCAATGCAATAGTTTGAAAGTCAGGGAATGCAGCATTATAAGCCATAACATGCACACTTTCTTTAGGCATCTGCTTGTCGCTCTTTTAGTAGTAAATGTAACAAATAATCTGCAACTTCAAAAACTATTTCTCTTTTTCGGTTTTAATGTGAAAAAAAGTAGTACTCCACAAAGTTTTGGGCCTGCAGCCAATAAAGAATTCCCCCCTCTGATTAGAAACTAGCCTTGCATAGATTGGATTTTGCTGCAAAAGTGGTCCCTTTCTCCACCAAAAAAAGCAGTCCCGGGGTTACATACAATATTAGGGACTGTAGGTTTGTACTTAAGTTGAATTTGTATGTAAGTCGGAACAGGTACTTTTTTTTTTAAGTGCTACTCCCGCCAAAAAAAACATTTTTTTGTTTTGGATAGGGAAGAGTCACGTTTGTTATGCTGTCTGTTCTTGTTATTCAGAAGATTATAATATAATACAAAAAATGTTTTATTTAAAATGACACACCCAAAAAAGTGTTTATATTTAATTTTATAAACTTTTTTTTTTTTATTTGTTTGCATTTTAAATTTTTATTTAACTTTTTTTTGTCTTTTTAATAAATTTTTTTTATTTTAATGATCTGAGCAGGTACATTTTAGGAGAACTGTGGCCCCCGGTTCGCAAGTACGGATTGTCCGTAAGTCGGACGCCCATAACTCGGGGACTGCCTGTACTTAAAAGGAAGCCTGCATTTACACTGGAAACGAGTGGAATTGATACAACAGAGAAAAAAATATGAGAAAGGACTGCATAGGGGCAGATTTATTCAAACAATGAATAAAATAACAAAGCAATAGGTAAAAAAGTAATATTGCATTACACAACACTAAATTCTTACCCAGTTTATGAGAACATATCGAGCAAGCATTGCATGTGGCTCCTTTACACTGCAGAATCCATACATCACTTTCTGGTTCTCAAAGTGGCTGGAAAGGGCAAGCAAACCTCCACCTGAAAATGTATATAGTTAAAAAAAAAAATATATACTACATTGACACCTGTTTCAAGAAAATTGAGTAGTGAAAACTGCCAGCAGCAGCAGAAGGCCTTGGAAATCCACGGCACTTGTCTCATTTCCCCACAATACAGTGTACCTTTCCAATTTCCAGAAACATGTTCACTGTGTGCCTTGCCTGATGGTTCCTTGGAAATCACTTGACATTAAAACAAGGTTTAAGGTGGATTCAACTGCATGCTCATACTGCATAAGCCCCAAAGAGGTGTTACCGTAAATTACCAACAAAGCAAATTAAGGATGGGACTACCTCCAAGGCAATGCTAAACCAATACACAGCGCTATCTCCCCTTATTGTGAAACAATTGAATATAACCGATAAACCTACAAATAACAATAAAAAACCCAAAAACACACCTATGTGTGTATTCCACCGTATATCAAGTGTTCACATAAAATACAATAAATATAGTGCAAAAAATATTAAACAGTGTGAAATAATATATGTGAAAAATTAATATTCGAGGATATTCAAATCACTCAGTATAAATCATCAATGTGAATAATGTGTACATAAATTAATATTGAGGATAATCAGAATCCATATATAATTAATAACTTTATTATTATTATTTCAAGGGTCCCTTGAAAAAGTCAATTAGGACGTTGCTGCTATCCTGCTAATTCCATTGTAGAGCTGTGTTAGGACCATTATCGCCTGCTGAACATTGTGAGATATACCCCTTTGTGGGTTACATGTTTTATCCACTTTTCATTGATGTAAGTTTTTATTTTTTGCGCAAAATAAATGTTTTAAAGATTTTATGCTATGTGCAGCATATTTGTTTCTTTATCGGTGAGCTAAAATCCCGGCTACGATCCATCTGTATGAGAAGTGAGGAGTCCGTTTATCGATTCATTTAAGGTGTCGAGTGGGGGAAAGAGTTTGATGTGGAGGAGACCGTCAATTGATTCACTAAAAGTGGCAACTAAAAAGAAAGAGTTTGCGGTGGGAGAGGATACACTGTTTCTTTCAATCAGTGTGAGGTATTGAATGCTCTTGTGGAGAAAAGAGAAAGAAGGTATGTTGGAAGCCATTACTTTGTTGGGGAAAGTAGCGTCCTGTGATCACTGCGATTTGACTATTTGATTCTGGTGAGTGGGTAACATTGTTTTTCCTTCGGAGTGGGATTACCGTATTTTTTGCTCCATAAGACACACTTTTTTCCCCCCAAAAGGCGGCCCGACGCCCGGGACATGCAGTTTCGGGCGCCTGGCGAGTAGTTTTTTGTACATTTAGCCCTGCTCCTGACAAGCAGAGAAGGGCTAAATCGAGCGGCAATCATGTCCGGGGCACCCCCCTCCCCGGTTTTCGGGGTCCACTGCTTCTCTGGGGGACCCATGACCACGGCATAGGTACTCACCATAGAGCCCCTAGAGCAGACGAAGAACGTCTGTTCTTCGTCTGCTCTGTGTGATCACTGAGACCGTGCGCTGTAATCACATCGCCACCTGTCTCAGCTGTCACAGAACCTCCCTGCGTCTTATGGTCTGGTGCGCCTTATGGAGCACAAAATACAGTATATGATTACACATATAAAAAAATGTCATCACTTTTTTAACTGATCACGAGTTATCTTTGTCCTGTGAGGATCGGATGACGTTTTGTACTTTATATATTTTATATGGACTCTAGTTATCGGTTATATTAAATTGTTTCACAGTAAGGGGAGATAGCGCGGTGTATTGGTTTAGCATTCTCTTGGCCACATTGCTTTTGGCTTTGTCGGTCTTTCGATGCAGCTGTCAGTTATTTATTAATTTATAATTAAAAGGGGGGACATCCACAAGCGCAAATATTAACATCTTTAAAGTACCTCCAAGGTAAGTCTGCTCTCAGTTTATTCATTGCCATATATATGTCCCAGGTTGGAAGCGTAGATACACTAGGGTTTCCCAAAGTGGATTATATTGACGCCCAAGGGTTGATGGGACTATGCAAGGAGTCGATAAAATGACTGGGGTTTATAAGGGGGTCAAGTAAATGTCTATGGATTATTTGTAGGGATGCACTGATATATCGGCCGCCAAAACATATCGGCCGAAAATGCCACTTTGGGCTAAATTTTTGTGCCGATACCTCGGCGCATCCCAGGTTTCTTTCCTCCCTGCTGGGCGCTGCTGTGTCCCAGCAGGGAGGAAAGAAAGTTACAGCCGGCCGGTGTGGGAGGAGAGCACTGTGAGCGGCCGGTGTCTCTCCTCCCACACCGCTCGGCTGCCTATCACAGTCCGGCAGAGCGGTGTGGGGGCGGAGACAGCGCTGTCACAGGAGGCTGAGCTCTCCTTCCGCACCGCTCGCTCAGCCTCCTGTGACAGTGTGTCAGAGAGGAGAGCGGTACAAACACTCAGGCCTTGTTCACACCAAGCGCGTTCCAGGAGCAGAGCAGTTACAGACCGGAGCAAAACTGCGTCCAATGTATTCCAATGGTATTTTTAGCTCCAGTTCACATCGCAGCGTTCAGTTCCAGAGCAGGTAAAAAAAACTGCAGCAGGCCCTTTTTTACCTGCTCTGGGACGCATGCAAACACATCAAAAACGCATGCAAACGCATGGAACGCACTAAAAGCCCATTTTAAACTAAAAAACTATTTATTTATTTTTTTACAAAAAACAGCCTGGAACGCATCAAAAATGCAGCAAAAAACGCAGCACAACCCACTGCACTACGTGGGCAGAGAATCATGCAGATCTGTTCTGCATTTGGTGTGAACAAGGCCTTAGCGATCAGTGATCACTGAGTGTTTGTACATAATAGGACATGGCATGTGTACTATAGCCTCAATTATGAATTAATGGAAGTGATCTATATCCCCTCCTGTTCATTCATAATTGTGGTTATAGTAAACACACTATGTTCTCAAGTTATCAATGAACAGGAACACTCAGAGGATTCCTGTTCAATGATAACTGGGGACACAGAAAAAGAGATAGAGGACTTTGTGTTCTCAATCTCTTTTTCTATTTTAAAAGGGAAATATCAGGGGTCTGTTTAGACCCCTAATATTTCCCCCGTAGCCTCTAAAAGTAAAAAATTAAAATATTTAATAAAAAAAATTAAAAATA